TCTATACATCAAGACAAACTCTCCATGCAAAGATAGGGAGCACACTGACATAGGGCTGCCACTTTATTTGGGGGCTCAAAAACTGAAAACACGGCATCACTGCTGATGTATGCTCCCTATCTTTGCATGGAGAGTTTGTCTTGATGTAGAGGTGGACTCTCAGGATAGCGTGGGATATCTCCTCCATTTTGGCCTCAACTTCAGAGCTTTTTTTGAGCTTGGGAGATGATTTCAGAGAAAACCAGTGGCACCATCGTGTTTCTCGCGAACTTTTACATAAGAATCAACAGTCAAATCGCAAATTCCTCACACATGCAACATCTCCATTTCTTATTTTATCGAAGGAAATATGGCAACTTCCGCAGGCTCATACGGCGTTCTTCCTCAGCGCGGGAGTGTTGGTCACCGACGCGCCACAAGTCACGCCACGTCCCTGTGTACCGCTAGATTTCAGTCTGGCTCCTGCCAATCCCGGCTATGTCCATCTGCCACGTCCTTCACCTTAGCGCAGCCTGAAGGACATGGAAAAGCTCACTAGTTGAGTCGGATAGAGTACGTTAGAGCGTACATAGAGGGAGGCCCCCCGTGGATAATCAAACATCGCGGATACTTAAAAACTACGCAGTGGAAACCGATCAGAGAAAAATTTCGAGTCGCCGAAAATTGAGCCTTCACTGTATTCGCAAAGAGAGACTTTTGTCATGTTTTGGGCGCTCTCTAATTGGTCTACCATTGTTAGATCTTTAGAGAGGCCTCTAAGATCCGATTCACACAAATATGATCTAGAGGCATTTGTAATTACCAGTGAAAAAGGAATGATACCCTCCGGGAGTGTAATTTGCGATCAAATTTTATTCAGAACTCATTTTAGTTGTTGAAAATCGTCAAGTTCTTATCACGTTCAGGACACTCTTTGACCATTTTGTTTCTTTACATTGGGCCCCCCTCAAAGGTTCAATTTTTCCATGCTTAAAGGATTGAAATCAAAATATTCCCTTCATATAACTACTCTAGTAGTAACAACCTCTCAATTGAGTTATTCGGAATAAGATTCACTTTTCCAATGGACATAGTAGATCGAAAACTACTTTTTGGCTGAGTATCGAGGAATAACACAGTGCATTCTAGTAAGAGTTAGCTGAAATACAGAAAAAAATCCAGAAGAGTTTATCCGCATTTCGTACCTCCAAAACGGTGAAGAAACGTGCGCCTGCGGTTCAAAAAATACGCATCGAGAACTTGCGTGCGGTTACGATTTCGTTCAGCACCGACGCATCGCCGATAAATCGATGTTCTCTCGAACTAACCTACCGCCGCGAGGATCGATTTTCTGTGTCTATCTTCGCATGGGTGGAGGTGAATCGAGTTTCGATCCTATCGATTCGGAGTGTCGATCGTAGGGCTCATATTTTTGTATCGTGCAGCTTAAGTAAATTAAACCGCAGGACGCAGATAAACAGAGTCCCGGCTCGATTACTAATGCTAGGTTAGGTGGAAACAGCGCGCGGTTGGGATGTGTCACCATTATTGCCAAATTTTCAAACATTCCGATGAGATGGTAACCCGTTTTATACGGTTGCATTTTGATGGTCATATATTGTTCATGACTGTAGTCGGGTTGGCCGAAGATGGGGTCCTTGTTGCTTGGTGCCGAAAAATCTAAGAAAAAAGGATTGAGGCTTTATATAATCCACAAGGAAAACGATGAAGAACTCACTGGAAAAAAAACACATTGGATCAGACTCTTGAAAACATTGTCAAGAAAAAGGACTTTTGATTCAATCAGATTTAAGCTTAAATCAAAAGAAAATCCGTTCAAATTAAGAGGCTTGGATCTTGATTTAAGCTTAAATTTGATTGAGTCAAAATTATTTTTTCTTGTCGATGTTTTTAAGAGTCTGGACTCAAGATCCAATGTGATTTTTTTCCAGTGCTCTTGCCCTAAAAATGTTAATTGCCAGTTCCTTTGCCAGGGTTTCGAGGGGGAACTTCTCTGGGAATCCTGGCTGTTTACTTTCCCGGAACATAAAAACACATCCATGTATGAATCACTAGAAAAAAAAAACTAACTTGACTTAAGCTGAAACGAGAAAAAACGCTATGAAATGGCCCAAACCGTAGGTAACAATGTGCTGAAATGGTGCTGGATCCACACCATTTCGAAGGGGAAACAAACCCAAAAAGTTCCAAAAATTTCAATTACAGTCGAATATTATTTGAGCTCTAATGAGTCAGGTAATTTTTGCACGGAGAAAAAAAACCTCTTGCGTGGGACCCGAAGTTTAGGTCATATGGATGTTGTGAAACTCTGAAGTTTTCGAATTTAGCATCTGAACACTTTACGTCTAGCTGCCAAGGTTCGGATTACACAGCTGAAACTTCTCGGGTGACTTTGATTCCATGTGCCGATGGTCTGCGAGTTTACTTTGCAACACAAGAAATTCAGATTAAAGAGATAGTCTGGCAAGCTTGCTATCGTTGGCCGAAAATCTCACATGATCCAGGCGGGGACCCCTGGCGGGTTCAACGAACGAACCCCAAAATCCCGAGCTTGCGGGTTCCGGCCCCCACGAACCCATTCACCGAGTCCGACCGCAATTAATCCAGTGCAGCGTTCCCTTCCCGAATCTGGCTCTGTTACCGAACTGAGCACTGATCCCGCTTGCGTTCCGAGGGGGATTCGGGAACTTTCCCGCGGAACGCAACGTCGCGCCCGGTTCATCCTCGTACCCTTGACTAATTTTCGTGTCGAAAAATCCGATCGTCTCCGCCCACCCCTTGTTCTTGCCTCGATGCAGAGATGGAGGCGTGCATAATATGCACAACAACTTGCCGATAGGATCTCGTGCTCGCACGATTCGGATGTACGAGGTGTCTCGGGAATGGTCGAGTCTGGAAGTTTTTCTTTTTTGGAAACGGTCCGATCTCTCGTTTCCCTATTTTTCTCCTCTACTCATTATGTAGGACCAGTGGCGCATCTAGGAATGTAGATGTTGCATGTGTGAGGAATTTGCGATTTGGCTATATCGATTCATACGTAAAAGTTCGCGAGAAACACGATCGTGCCACTGGTTTTCTCTGAAATCCACTCCCAAGCTCAAAAAAAGCTCTTAAATTGAGGCCAAAATGGCGGGGATATCCCACGCTATCCTGAGAGTCCACCTCTACATCAAGACAAACTCTCCATGCAAAGATAGGGAGCAAATACATTAGCAGTGATGCTGTATTTTCAGTTTTTGAGTCCCGAAATAAAATGACATCCCTGTTAATGTATCTGCTCCCTATATTTGCATGGAGAGTTTGTTTTGATGTAGAGGTGGACTCTCAGGATAGCGTGGGATATCTCCTCCATTTTGGCCTCAACTTCAGAGCTTTTTTTAAGCTTGGCAGATGATTTCAGAGAAAACCAGTGGCACCATCGTGTTTCTCGCGAACTTTTACATAAGAATCAACAGTCAAATCGCAAATTCCTCACACATGCAACATCTTCATTTGCAAGGCTAGGGGGGGGGGGGGTGTCCAGCTTCTCTCAAGCAAAGCAGTGCATCTCATTCATCATTCATAGGCGAAAAGTTGGATCAGACCACATTCGGAAAAACTGTTGATCGACAAGTCCGTAATTTTGTTTTCAATGAGATGGCACTGGATCGGTACCTGCCAGACATCAGTATTGATAATGTTTGAATCGATGGGACATTAATGCAATCGGTAGGAGATTGGATTGATATATATCGTCGCCCCTCTGACGTTAGGGCGTATCTGAATTCCTACGTGAGCCTTGTTTGACGTATAAATCCGTGCTTTCTGGGGCTCATGTGGGAATCGAGACGCGTCCTTACGTCAGAGAAGCCACGATATTTACCGAATAAGATACGGGCGAGCTTGACGCGACGCAACGCGATCAATCTGAATTCCGTCCATCATCGTGTTAGGGGATCCGGTGCACCTCTGTACAGGGTGTTTCAGAGATGACGGTCAGACCGAAGGAGTGTCAAAAGGGCCCATCAAAAGGATCGCCAGGATTGGTCAGAATACGATTTTATTTGTCGCTAAACTTTTTTTTTCTAATGGAGCCCACGGTTGGAGCAACAGTCCCCATTTTTGTGGAAACGGTAGCGTGATTCCTCAATTTTGGCAACGGTGGTGTAACGAGACTCGCTAAAATATTACTACTCACCATCTATGGCCCCAGAATTATTGATATCTTAAGTTAAAGCATAATCTCAGGAGGGTGCGGGGAACTCTAACGTTCAGACTAAAAAAATATGTTTTGGCCAATAAGGGTGCAATTTTCAGGGCACCGTCGAATCGGGTGTCATACAAATTTAAAAAAAAGGTTATTAATGAAGATTCCTCTCTTCTAAGCTTGATCTCGGAGAAATTCGTTTTTGAGTGGCCAAAATAAGACCAAATTTCTCATCCTGAAAAATCCAAAGTCCCCTAAAATTCCTTTTTAACTTGAAGTTTCGACATTTTTGACACCGCGGACGAATTCATCGCTACAAATCGATGAAAGCACCGTTTTCCACAATTTTTAGTCTATTACCGTCGCCAAAACTTCGAAAAAATTATGATTTTCTCGACAATCCTGTGGGGNGGGGGGGGGGGGGGGGGGGGGGGGGAGCTTCCAATGGGAGACACTTGTAGATAAAACTTTTTGTTCGAAGAAAGTCTCATTTTGACTCGAACTTGCTTCCATAACGTGGACTTTCAACCCTGCACTGGTAAAAAAAGTAGTTTGGATCTAGAGTCCAGACTCTTAAAAACATTGACAAGAAAAAATTACTCTTGATTCAATCGGATTTTTCCTTGAATCGAAGAGCCAAGCCTCTTGATTTAAGCGGATGTCGATTTGAATCAAGAGTATTTTTTGTTGTCAATGTTTTTAAGAGTCTTGACTCTAGATCTAATTGTAAGCTACTTTTTTTTACCAGTGTGGCGCACCCTGTATTATGACAGTGAACTTGGACTTCGGTCATCGAGATCGCGTTTTGATGAAACCGTCGGTCGAGCACACGGGAGGAGAGAGCCAGTGAACCTGCAATTACTCCAACCGCCGCAGGCCATTGTCGGAAGGCTCAGTGTGTGGTGACTCCTTCAAACCGTGTTTTTTCAGCTCCATCCTCCAGTGTTCTGTTCAAGTGCAAATCCGACAAGTAGGTATTTTATGCGTTTTGGTATTTTTTCTAGGAGCTATTGAACGGTATACATTTTCAAAAACATAGGGTTCGTGACTTCCGACCTTGGTGGCTTTAAAAACTCCAAGTTGTTCAGTACGTTTTCTTCATTTACGGAATAGGAAAAATGTATTGAAAGTTGATGTAATCCTAAGTTTTCGTGGCGTGTAAACTGATATCTTGAACAAAACCTTGACTGACAGTGAACAGACCGATTTCTCGTGGTCTCTTCCTTTTTTTTCACATCCATCTGGACCTTCATTCAACGCCGGATTTTGGGTGTTGGGAGCCCCGGGGCATACTGTGGTGGGGGCGCCCAAAATCCTTCTCAAAATCATGCTTTGAAGACTTCAATTTACGCTCTTCATGGGCACTGACCACTGGGACAGTGAGGAAAACACAGGGGATATTTATAGAACCGAAATTTTATGATTAGGTAAACGAAAGAAAAATGAATGCTCTACAAATCACTCATTTATGCAATCTTTTACTAAGATCGTGCCCGTTATCATTGATGTTTGTGTCCGGTGGCACAGTGTGTTTTTCTCTGCAGATTCGATAGTAACATTGTTGACCGCTTTTTTCTTTCTTTTTTATCCAGAAAAATCAAAAGCATTCGCATAATCAAAATTCCATAAAAATATGTCATTTTGAAATTATGTAACCATCCTGGCAAAACAAGTCCTAATTGATCTCCTCTTCTGCCGTGCTAAGATAAAACGTCGTATGTACTTTCGGATTTCGAAAAATTCTCTTCCCCCCCCCCCTCCAAACGAAGAATCATTCGTTTTAGTAAAAACCAATCAATATTCATCCTCGAAATTTCCACGCACACCAGATTGAATTGTGATTGAAATGACCCGAAAATTTTAGGAAATAATCGTCAAGTCTTCGAGAAAATTGGTATGGAATTTAGCAGGCGAGACTTGGCAGTGTCCAGCGTCCATACGGTTTTATTTCCTTCGCGGAGCGGTAATTTCTTATTTCGAGGGACGCGTCGCAGTTTCTGGAAAATTAAGTAGTTTCCGATCGAAGAGAAGATGGGATCGATTTAAAATAACGGATGTGGCTGGAGATTGGATCATTATAATTTCCCTGCGAGTTCTTTTGGCGGAAACCGATTGTGAGTGAACTGACTGAATTGGACGTGTCTGCGATTCGTGACGTTATGCCCGGCATTGCCGGACCACACCAGGAATATGGTCGCTTTACGCCACGAAGTCTGGGGGAGGGGCACCAAAAAACACTTAACTAAGGGGGTCGGCCTGTGTCTGTGGGACTCCTCCGGCTCCGATTGAGAGTTCGAAGAATTTTCTTATTGCTAGTTCATAGAGGGGCCAGATGGGCCTCCCCGGAAAATTTTGAAAAATTGAGTCTTCTCAGGAACAATTTTCAGCTGTTCTCACTGTTCAATTTCGAAGATGAAGGATGTGTCTTGCACTTACCTAGCAAAATTCCTCACATTTACTAGGAGAGACCAGGCCCCCTTCCCCCCAGCCCCCCTATTTCTGCGCATGTCTCCAATTCGCAAAAAAGTGGCTCCCAGAGTGACAGTACTCAGAGAAAGGGAACCTAAATCCACAAAAACTCCAAATGTTAGCGGAGCTTAATTGCAAAGCTTATTAGAGAGTTTGACAAATATTTAAAAGTTTGTGGTACCCAAAACATTGTTTTAAAAAAGAAATTTACTCAAATTCTTATCCAGTTGGTAATGGTCATAAAATTTCCAGACTAAAATGTAATTTTACGTGTAATGTATGTATGTAATTTATATCTAACATAAAATTGAACGTAACCGCTTGCATCTCAATTTTCAGAACAGATTTTTCCACGCAATCTCAAAATCAGATTATTTTACCCAACTCTATACCGGAAGCTTCGTTGACTAAGTTCTCTTTGCCCATAGATAGTCACATTGTACGATAAACGGTCCGAATAAACTTTGAGGAGTCCGGAATTGTCTTCTTCCTCAGAGTATCTAAAATTATGCCTTATACTTATTCCAAACGAACGGAGCCAACCCAAGCGTCCAAAACGCGTCACCTGAATCAAGAAGCGCGCGCAGTATTGTTATCCCGTCCCGATAGTAAAAATAAGGGAGACTCCCATTTGTAATCTGTCGTTATTGTGACTCCAGGCCGAGATTAAATCTCTTCACCGCGTCCCTTGACCTCTCCGAAGGGTATTTTATTCCCGAATCCTCATTGTCGGGTTAAGTTGCACCCATTCACTCTCCGCGTGCCTTCTCGCCCAGTCCATATAAAAACATAATTTGCTGGTGAGCTCTAGGTTACATAAAAACGCCTTCAACCTAGGGGTCGTCAGATGATGAACCTGCTTGATTTTAACAACGACCCATTCAGATACGACCTCTAGACGTTCCTGTCTCGACCGAAGCTTTGAGGTTCTATTATTTTCCGGATACAAAGTTATTTATGAGGTTCTGCCGGGAGAATCGTTTTATTATCTTGAGGCTCGCGTCATGGATCTCACCTTGAGGTCTTCAATGAAACTACCCTTCGAGTTGATTTACCCGAGTGAGGTCTCTGGTTCTTTTATAGCGTTCCGATTCGACCGTTGGCTTCAACTTTTACATATTTTCAATTAGAAAATCTCTCGTATCGGAGATTGTATTCAGAATTCCAATTTTTTTCCACAATGAAGAGCCGGTCATCATCCTGGAACTGCCTGAATTTTCTTCTGCTACGCCCGGAGCGGAAAAAATTAGATTTTTATGTATTGGTTACCCACCCAGGCTACCAAGACCCTAGCGGCAGTGACTGTTGGAAAGCACTCTATAAAGACTCCCTAAAAAGCGTTGAAATCTAAGTAAAAGGATCCTTGTTTGTGTTTTATTTTAAGTAGGTAAAGTTTATGAAAGAGGAAAAAACTTGTAAAAAACTTTCTCAGATCTCTCAAAGGTTCTCTAATACTTTTTCATATTGTAAGTTTGGATAAAACTCGGTCTTTGAACTAAAATTTTACATTAAATTATACCTTTAAAATTATAAAAGAATCATCCAGCATAAGTGCTAAAAGTTTGTTAACGACTTCCTTTCTTACCTTGAATAACAGTTTTTAAAATTCACAATTTTTTCCTCTCTTTTTTTAAAAAAATTATACTGGTATAACTTAACTGTAATTTAAACCTCTCTCTACGTCATTTGAGACCGCAGCGTGGTATGTAATATTTAGTTCCCCAAACTCACAGTCAGTGGTTTCTCGGGCGCAGTCACAGGGAATAAAACTAGACAAGAGATCCGCGCGACAGAATTTCCCAAATTGAGAGAGAAAAAACGAGTGTACTACGTCATCTGCGAGTCTTTCAATAAAGGGGTTTCGAGATTTAACCATCAAAACACTCTTACGCCACGTGCAACTAATGCATTCTGCCGTGCTAAGAAAAAACGCCGTATGAACCCTCAGGCGTTGCCGAATTTCCCCTGGCAAATCACTAATTTTCAGAAAAATTTGTGAATATTTGTCTGCCAATTTCTCAGATAATTTTGTTTGTAATTTGATCTAAAACGTCTGAAAATTTCAATGAAATAATGCATAATTTTTCTCATAAATAAACATTTTATCGGAGGAAATTTGTCAACTCCCGAATGTTCATACGGCGTTTTTCCTTAGCACGACAGCATTGCATCTACAACTTTTAATCTTTCCGCAGTCTGTATCTACAGCTGCATGCGGTCACGCTGAAGGGGTTTTTTCCTACCGCGCAGTCCAGAGGATAACTCAACAACCTCCAAGATTCATGATTTAATTGATATGTAGCTTATTTATGACGCTATTGTTTTCGGGCCCTCTCTTTCTTTGGGGGGTCGGGGTTTGAAGACGCGGTTGAACTTCGAATTATCCTTTTCCATGTGATTGTCATTCTGATTAGGCGTCAGCGAAGTTGTCAGAGTTGGGTAAGAATCCCCATTAATCCGTCGTGCTTCCATTTGAACTCTACCTTTTTTTATTTGAGTTTTTTTACGCATCGTGACAAGTATTTTAAGAGGGAGGGGAGTCGGCAGCCTTCAGACGTGCTCCCATGAATTCGTGATCATGGGGATTTCTTGAGGATAAAAGCATGAATCCTCCGCATACATAGATGTCGTGGAAAAGGTGCATCGAAGCTACTGCAACCGTAAATCGGGTCCACTTACTTAGATTTTTGGGGGACTTTTCGATGGACCATAAAACACAATTTTTCTCTGACGAAAAATAGACTTAACAACCACGGGATTGATCAATTTAACAATTTTAAAAACGACAAACTCTAAAGGTAAAAAACTGTCGCCGTCAAATATTGTTATTTTTATTTAATTGTTTTTTTTAAAATAAATATAAAACACTAGCAGCCTCAAACAAGACAGTTGGGAACCTGGAGAGTCAGGTAATTTACCGCAACCTAGAAAAGTCATTGAAAGTCTGGGAATTCTAAGGAAAAGTCAGGCAATTTTGCATGCAGAGTTTAGTCAAAGATAGCATAGTTAAAATGATAAAAATATAAGTGGAAGCTTTGTTTGGAGGTCAAGAAAAGTTCGGAGATTTGAAAATTTTGGAATTAGGGAAAAGCAAAAAATGTCAGCGAAAGTCAGGGAATTGGAGGATGATGAACTGATCGAAATCTTTTCAAAGCAACCTCAAAATATTTTTAAATAACTCCCATTTGTTTTTTCTTTTAACCGGGGATTTTTTAAAGATTTATGCGTTCAAACGGCCTTGTTCAAACATTTTGGAATTAGGGAAAAGCAATACATGTCGGCGAAAGTTAGGGCATTGGAGGATGAAGAAATGATTGAAATCTTGTCGAAGCAACCTTAAAATATGTTTGAAATATTTTTAAATAACTCCCATTTTTTTCTTTCTTTTTACCAGGGATTTTTTAAAGATTTATGCGTTCTAACGGTCCTTACAGTTCACGGTTCACCTTATGCAATGATTTCTTCCACCGCGTCGCACTGGAAAAAAAAAACCACATTGGATCCAGAGTCCAGACTCTTAAAAACATCGACAAGAAAAAATACTCTTGATTCAATCAGATTTAAGCTTAAATCAAGAACC